ACCAAATTGGGCTTAATAAGCGGCTGGGCCTATTAACCGTGGGCTTAATAACTGGCGACTACTGTATTACTAGCAGCCGTGAAATTCGCGATATCAGTATTTAAACAAAACAGTGATTACTTTCTGAGGAATTTAAAATGCAAACATTTGTTAACTGGAGTAGCTTTCAGAAAACCCGTGGAGAACAAATAAGGGACCTACCGTTGAGCCGGAAACCTCGCAGCTGTGTCAAGTAGCGGAATAATGCCGGCAAAATATACGACTGGACTTTTAGCTAGTACCTGCGCTGTTAGTATGGTGTGTCTTATAACCACCGCAAATACTACCCTCCGTAGAATTTGTAGTAGTAGCAATGCTACCGATAGTAGTATTGTCATCGGTAACAATTATGACTCCAGGGCTGACAGTTGTAGTAATACTAGTATCAGCCATGTTAGTAGCAACAGAAGTAGGAGCAGAATTACCGATATAATAGTATCGGTAATATTCTCAATGACATTCGTATTTGTAGTGACAGCAGCAGCAAGTTTTAGCACGTCTACAAACTTACAGACGTGTCTCACTTTCTTACTTTCTTGGAAGCAGATTGCATGAGTAGATAATGGCAAAATTCATTATATCTTTATCAGATACAAATCCGAGTACGTCAATTAGCCAAGTAGTTGTTCTAAGTAACAAAAACCTCTATTACATCTCTCCCCAAAACAGTCTTCGTTGAATCAGAATGGAATGAAAAGTAGGGGTCGAGAATGTCGCTTTTCGCTTTAAGTGTATATAAATCATGTCAAGCTCTTTTGACAAGGAGGCAACTAGCAATCTCCAGTAAATCCTTTCTCCAGCTGCTCACTGTGTGCCCATTTGACCTAAGTTACCGTTCGCTTTACGGCAGGCTCGTAGTTGACAATGATTAATATTGTGTTTCTAAATGGACTCCCATACGCTACTGCTTCACTGGTTTTGGTTAAAAACTTGCTTGGAGAGCAAATCGCATCTAGTAGTCTACTTTCAGTTTCTATCTGGCACAGTACCTTATGGTATTTTAGATTAAATTAACTCTGACCCCACTTGACCGACTTGAACTTACTGGCCTCTGTCTAGTTCTTTCCAATATATCTTGTTCACAGAGCAACCGAATTTTAAACGCTCAAGTGGTTTTGAAAATAAGCGAAGTCCTAAAGCCATCATATCTTTTGTCGGCCTAACAGTCTTTAAATGGCCGTTAGAATAAGACTCCGTAACTTCGGCAAATATAGCAAGTGATCCGAAAGTCTGCTCTCTGTCTGATTTGCCTTCTTCTCAGTTTATTTTGCTACTATTTCAGATTGGCCCGCTTAATACTAAATTTTGTTTTGAATGTCTAATAAACTTGCTGTTTTGACAACGTTTGAAAGCATTTTGAGTCTAAAAACGGAATCATGCAGCAAGTTTGACGGAAGGATAAGGATTCAATTTGTCAAATAAACATAAAACGACCTAGGTTTACCTTAACACCGTTCTTCACGTAGATGCTAAGATCGAGGGTGTGACAGGACTTCATGCGTCTGCCACATCTAGCTTTCCTAAATTGCGTCTCCGATTTATGCGACTTGGTGTTGGCGGAGGTTAAGTTGCCCTCCAGGACGTCGGGCCAAGGCACGCCAATAATGACTCGCAGATTGCGTAACTGCTGCAGCTTCCATTTTTCTGTAGCCAGCGCAGTCTCCACAAGACAGCCTTGGTTTCGATCACGCATGAACTTCAAAGATAGGGGGTGACTGGCGCCACTGGAGGTGGGGGACTTTTGTTGCAGTAAGGGCAAGATGACAGCGGAGACATCAATCTTTTGGCGTGGGTTTAGGTCCAGACTCAGCCATGAAACAGGTCGAGGACGAATGCAGCAACTGACTGAAGCGTTTTTTATGGCATGACATAAAGCTGATGCAAAACAGACGTCGATTATGGAATCAATATTTGCGCAGGTTTTGAGAAACACCTTGCCGTCGGGAATGAGCACCAGGGGGTTAGACGGCAGCCTGCTGAAAGTCTCTTCGGACGTCATTCTGCTGTGAAGATGATGGATATAAAGTTAAGGAACCAAAAGAACTTCGAAGAGATAATGTTAAAAAATGAGACGATGATTAATTTCTCTCAGCATTCAAATGAGACTTTGATTTTGACGAGTTTATTTTCAGAAATAGCACTTTTATGACTTGAAATAGCGCCCCAGTTAACTTTATGTATTCACGTAATGCATCAGCTGTTTCGGCGTTATTATATATCCTTCTGCAGTTCGCAAGTTTTAGCAATCTCACTACATACATAAAAATAACAAAAAGCTTAGCAATTTGCAGAACTTCCTATGAGTACGTGGATTTTACTTTTGAGTTTTGCTATTGTGCGTATCGTTTGCATCTAGCTTGTTAAACGATTTATCAAGGTCTGCTTAACAGGTATTTGATTGAGATTACCTGTCAGTTTCCAAAGACTGTTGCCAGCAGGACCACATGTTGTAAAAAACAGTCACTTGAAGAATGTTTAGGATAAAAATGCACGAGCTAAGAGCTGTTGTAGCCGTCATAGTTGTTGATGAAAAGCGAATAATTGACTACGATACGCTTATTTCAAATAAACTAAGAACGCCTTTTGGCTTCCTAAGGAAAAGTTCTGAAGCTGCGGTCTTACCTCCATCTTTAGAGCTGAATAGTATCAACCTCTAGATGAATTTTCGATACAAGCATAAAATATTTTCTTGGAAATACAGTACTACTAGCCGATTCCAGGAAATGCGAAAGACTGGGAAAAATTGATTTCGGAATAACGATATTCCCAAGCCTCTTTAAATGATACCCAACTTAATTATTTGTGTAGTACAGGTGGCTGGCATTTAACGTCACTAACAAGTGATATGACTAACACCACAAACATTTGCTTGTGGTATAAGTTATACCCATCATTAGTGGGCACCGAAAACGGGCCGCGCGGTAGATGCACTGGACCAACACGGGGACCAGATCAGGGTTCGGCAGGCGTTAATCGGGTCGGCGTTATTCGGGTCGCCGGCTCTTAACAAATGCCGAACAGGGGGACCTGGTGGCATTCAAAGGAGCGACCTCGGCCACGCCAGCCACCTACGCTCTTTCTTACCTCAGGTTTTCTTGACTTTGTTTTGACACCGGGCTAAGTTGGGGGTGGTGAGAGAGTGAGAGTAGGTGCTCCGCGAGCCTGCCCTCACTGTTTCCTTCCCTTCATCTCCCCTGCGGAAGTCACTACGCCTGTTTTAGCTTGCTGGCTTGTCTTGGCTCGCTTTAGCTTGCCAAGTTGGCCATCGTCGAACACAATGGGCGAACTATCGTATCCATCACTAGTACTATAGCGCTTACGACATTAGTTAGTCTACTGAATGCCCATATCTAGTTGAGTATAATATTTCCCTACTAGGTTTACATTATCTCAGAGCGAACATGCCCTAACCAGAAAGCCCATTCATTCCCGGGCCTTCTAGTCATGCAATTTGAAGAAAAGAGGCAAATTCTACAAGAGAACACATTTTACGAGATTTCGCCTTAAACAGCAAGTGCTTTTGTTCACGCAAAAAACAAAATTCTAGTTGGCACTAAGTAGACGTGAAAAAAAAACTCAGAACCGAATTTTTTATCTCCCTATGCAAATGACAAATATTTTGCATTTCTTGGATCCTATAAATGCAGGTCGACCTGGACTCGAAGAGCACCTTTTTATAAACACACGGCTACAAAATTGTTTTAACCAAGTTCCTTATATGGTGAATTATCAACAACACTTTTAAAGTTAACAGCCTCGCTTATATGATATAAGAAGCATCAGGAATTGATGAAACTCCGAAGTTTCTGAACGGCTGTCTTGTCTGTTCGCATTAAAGTGCTTTATATATGTTCGTTAGAACTAGCAAGTAGTAGATTCCCAATAAGAAACGCCAAAACGATGCCTTCTGTATATTCTTTTTCGATTGTTTTCCTCTTCACTTAATTAAACGCCCTCTGAGTGTCAAACCGTAACCATCTTAAACGATAACCGCTTACGCGTTTATAAATTGTACCAAACATGAAGGCCACTTCAATTGTTCAAAGTTACTGTTAACGCCTTGGGTAAGCAACATACTCCTATATACTTCGATGCCTTTATCAGAGAATATGCACGAGAATGAAACTTGGATTACCCATAAAGAACCTAGCTGCATAATTAACAGAGGGTTCTTTCGAGAACGTAGCGACAAACACGGCGGTATGTGGGGGGACATTGAATTCCAAGGGCAGAAAAGTAATGAAAGGAACAATAGGTTGACACAATAAATCGTTTAAGGTGATTGCTGTCTTGCTATCAAAGGGACAAATCAGTTGGCTAGAATTTCCACCGGATAGCCTTTGTTTATGCACCAAAATAGAAGCTAGTGTACTCGAGCATACTTGACCTGTACGGAGCCCCACAATTAATCAAACAGTTCTTGCATGGTCATCCTGGAGCACCTACGGCCTCATCTTTTCTTTTTATTTACATGAATTTTGCTTACTCAGCGACACGTTTACTTTCGAGCCACTGCTATCCCTCTCGGAAAAACATTCAATTATTCCTTGTAAGAGAGTTTTCAAAATGTATGGGATAATCTACACTCTCTTTCTAATGTTTTAACTGAAGCTGCAATAGATGGATGATTCGAACTTTTTTGTAGTGGGAGTTTGAAGCCATCTGAGATGTCCGGTTGGACAGATCTTGATGAAGGCGAGAAAATCGGCTACTTAGACGGGTCTGAACGTTTATCAAGATCTCTACGCCTTAAGTCACTTTAAGTCAGGTCACTTTATTAAGGAAAGTAAGCTTTTGCCCTTGATCTCCCTATTCGTATCCAAAAACCGAAAAAGGGAGAGTTAACATGGGCTATATGTGTGAGCCAGTCACAAAATGCCGATATTGATACAGTGTTCATCATATATACAACAACTTCTCAGCAGGTGAGAATCCAGTTAACGTTTAAATGGCTCAGCAGTTTCTGAGAGGGTGGCCTGGACCACGTCTCAGCATGGTCGTCGGAAATTGGCCTTCTGCTTAACCATCAGAGGTAAGTCCAGTGTGTTTTTCGACTGCGCCCTCTCCCAGTCCTGTGTCCGTTGGCATTCTGCCGAATGAGGTATCATATGTCCGGTACCTTGGTTTTACTCTAGTATCCAACCTCTCATTTAATCTTCATATTGAAGGCATTTTTATCATAATCCGTAAACATTTGTAATATATCCGCCACTTGCGGTCATATCGCACACCGTATGCCCTAATTTGGCGATTTATAGATGTCTGCATTCTCATTGTCATCCTTTACTACACTCCACTTATTTTCCAGCTTTACTTTAAAAAGACCTAGTCATTTTGAAAGTATCCTCCAAATGATCTCTTCAGTTGCCAGTGTTTGCCATGTTCCTTTAGTTGACATTATAATACAGCGAGACTTTCAAGTGGTCAAGCATTTTGCTGATCGTAGTCTTAGTGAAGCTGCTCACCCCCTCCACTCTGAAATAATGGCTGCGAAGTGTTCCCGTACTATGCCTCGAAGCTTCCGTCATGTCTTGCTATACATAGGCATATCAGTCAGTATCAGTCAGTATATTTGGAGTAAATGACCGAAGCCCTT